TTAGCAGTCAACGAGATGAACAAGGGCTTTAATTACCTCCAGACGTGTGCTCAGGCCTTCATACGGCAGGTGTGTGCACACACTCACCAGACTCCCCCTCCACCTGCCTCTCAGCACCTCTCAAAGGGAAGCCCGCGCTAACTAGAGCCAGTAAAGCGCAGACTGAGTCTCAGGGAGTGATTACAAATGAATGAATTGCCTCAATCAAACTCAAAACTCAGAGTTGATTTGAGTGAAACCAACGAGACCCAGCATGTCTAAGAAATCTGAGAAGTAATTATAATTCTTTAGATCGGGGTTTCAGCTTTCTGTGAGTTAAAATAGGATGACAAAAACGCCATGCAGTATCCACGGTTTTTATGAGATGGAGTGAAAGTCGAAAGGACAAACAGTGGGAGCCGGGATTTTAAGCTAAAACTGTTAGTCGGACATACAATAAAGGAGTTTTTTGCAGGAAGAATTAAGCCATCAGGCTGTGATTCAGCCTTTTTGCATCAAGCTTTGTGTTAGCAAGAATATACTACCCTTTCCCCGGAAATGGTGTAGTGGGACTGTATAGTCTGGATTCTCATTAGTATACTCGTCTGCAGGTCTCCTTTTAAATCAACCTCACAGGGTTTCAGTGGAAGTTCCAAGAAGTTCAATGTTGACAGACAAAATCGCACAAAAAACGCACACAATCTGGCATCTTGGATCATTGCCAACTCTAAATGGATGTCGGCTGTGTCCAAAAGTTGAAATCCACTCCTTGTTTCTTTACTTTTAGCTCTCTGGAGGAGAAACTTTTCCTTCACGAACAGTTTCCCAGCCCCCTGAAGGCCTTTCAAATGACGTAAAGGCAGATATTTTCAGTGGTGGCCTTATATGTGAACATCTTCAGAACCCGTTTAACTTTGATGGATGATTCATAATAGCCCGCATACTTATTTATTTCATGTTTTATATTTCATTTATGCAACATCAAAGAAATAAGTGGTTATTTAAGTGTTGTTGACCAGACATACGTTACAACATGTCTGCAAAATGAATTAAAAAATCATTAAAAAAATAGACAAAGTCCTCAGGTTTTGGGCATGACTTCAGTTAGAAACACCATAAAATATGTATTTATCCATTTGCAATCAACAGCAAATGCAAAATTGCCATTTATTTGATTACATATTTACTTTTGGCATCCTGCAAACAGTGTTTTATAGATTACTTACAATATATGCGTAAAGAGAGGAGTAATGGCAAGAATGTGTGAAGAAAGAGCTGAGCCATTCAAATAACTCCTCATTATTTCTTTTAATCCTCATTTACAAGAGTTACACGGTGATTAGGACAGCCTTTCAGGCGGAAAGCAAACATGCGTGCTCACAACAACAGGTATATGTTTCCAATTATAGGAGAGCAGGCAAATCAATCCAGCGGCATTTTTATATACGCATGAAACGCGTAAAGCCAAGAAGAGAAGAGGGCGATCCCCCTGACAACTCATAAACATTCTCCCCCATCTGCCTCCTCCTCTGAGAGTTCATCAGCTGCCTACCTTTCACCGTGCAGGCGGCCACCGCAACAAAAAGCAGGAAATTGGGAAAGTCCATGTTGGAGAGGAGAGGAGCGGTCCCGCGGATGGGCGCTGGACCTGGAGGGATGCGGGAGTGATGATGATGATGATGATGATGCTGGGGGGGAGCTGGGGGAGCCGTGCCGGTGGGGGCAGCGGTATTAAATAACCCCTCCTCCTATAATGAAAAGCAGACGCTTGGCAGGACATCGATGAGGGTCTCCAAACTGTCCGCCCACTGGGCTTTGACCAGTAACGAATGGATGTTTATGGACGTTGTGTTTTTACAACTTACTTACATATCAAATTGAATCTTTTTTCCCAGAACTACAAAAAAAAACATCCTATATTGTCTATTTTCTCTTTAAACGTCGTGAAAAATGCTTTTGCAGCTGATTATTATTAGTATTATAAACTGAAACACAACTTTTAAAAGAACAAACATATGAATCCTGTCATTGTACAACAGCTTGCCAATAAAAAAAATAGAAAAATCTGTTGTTAACGGTGGACGACACTAAAAAGTTCTGCAAGACTGATCTGACCACAACAACTGCACGTCTGCGTAACACGGGGACACCTGCTGGTCACTGGACGTCATTACAGCTTCGTTTGAGAGTTTACAGGAAAAGTCAAAAAGTCCTGTAGTTTCTGGGGATTATTCTGCACACGGTTCCTCAACAGGAAATACAACAGCCTAAATGTAAAAACACGTTGATACAGAGATGTGAAAATCTGTTGCGTTTTGTGAGGAGTGGATCTAATTTCTGTTGATATTATTAACCTGTTTATGCTCTACATTGTTCTCTGTTTTAGTGAAATGTCTGTTTGTGTGTGTGTGTGTGTGCACATTTCTATCTAATAAATAATTATTTCACAGTATTGTTTTGCTCCAGATTGTAGGTAAACGCCAACATAGAAGTGGGTTCTTCATGTATTTTCCTTCTACAAGCAACTTCTGTTCATGAACTGAGGTTTTAAGAAGTTTGCATTCTGTCATGGTCAGCAAAAAAGATGCTGAAAATAATCTTTATATCAAACTAAATATTGAATTGCCTTGTGACCATTATTGCTTGAGGACAGTTACGCATAATGATTTTACTAGGCTTGCAGATAGGTCTGAATACAAAAACACGTTTAAACCCTCCCATATTAGACACTGTGCATAGTCCCACTGGGAACATGGCACATGATGATTAATAAGAGGGACTTAGCATAGCATGCTTTCTCTGCAGTAGTTTGGGACTTAATGAATAACAGCAGGTGTTTAAAAGGGAATCCAGCAGTGAAGTGAAGTTTATAATTTATTAATCATAGTTTTGTTATGTATTTATGCATATGCAGGGATGCACGGATGGGTGTGGTTCCCAGCAGCACTATACAGAAGTCAAAGAGCAGGAGTTAAGTCCTTACAAGGAATTGTTTTTAGGTTTAACAGCTGCTTTCTGTCCATAGAAAAAAATGTATGTTGAATTTCCTCAGGAATTTGAACTATTTCCTAAACGTGAACTCCCACTCAGAGAAACTGGCCAACTGAAAGGACTCTCTTGTCCTCTCTTCTTAAAAAGTTTTGTTCCTATTTCTCTGCATTGCAATTACAGGAACCCTAAGGGTGGTCTGTACTTCACAAATGGTTTACTGTGCTTTATGTACAGTTTTTCTCCAAGGCGGGTTCAGATTAGGAAAATACTGACGACATGCAGCAAAGTTGTGCTGATTTGAAAAACAACTGTAATGTAGATGGACTTTTACATCTGTATTACATCTGTAGATGGACTTTTACATATGTCTTCTAAAAAACGGCTTAATCTCCAACATATGACAGTCACTCCACACTTAATTCCTATTTTGATATCATTAAGTAAAGTTTAGTGCGATTATTAGGATGTTGCAGATGTGGAGAACACGTATGAGACGTATGAACCATATGAGTTTTTTAAAAATGTAAATAGTTAAAGTTGAAGTGTGCAGCCCTGATTTAAATCAGGTTTTGGATACTGGACCAGAGAATCAATACAAAAGGCTCTGTATCAACACCGTGGAGGACATAGATCCCTTCAAAATGACTTTAAATGGACATCTACACACCAATTTACAAATTCTTTGTTTAAAGTTTGTTTTTTTGCCAACATTGTATTCATCATTTACCAATTTGGTTCCAACATCCAAATATCAATTTACTCCGGGGCCAAGGCAGCAACAGATCTCTGAACATCTTTGCACAATTTAATAGGGATTCTGCAACCTACAACAAAGAGCGGCAAGCAAAAGAATAGATTTTATGTTGTTAGTGGAAATACTCAACATATTTAGTAAATAAAAAACAGTCATAATGAGGACAATTTTGCAGCAGACAGACAGTTTTGACAATTATTAAATATATCTGTCTCAAAGGAGTATGTACAGAACTAACTTGATCATTGTAGTATTAAGTGAATCACCATGCAGTCTTGATTTTAGGGGGATTTGATCAGTCACAGTAGTGTAACCCTCTTGAGTCCCAGGTAACATAAATATGTATTAAAAAAAGATACTGAAGATAAACACAAATTCAAAGACTTTTGAGTAAATGTTATATCCACTGGAATGAGTTAAATAAACCGCTGTTTGGAGCCAAATGTCTCCAATTTTTTGCATTCAATTACTATAAATAGATTCATAGGCGTCCATGTCCTAACGCGGGGTTAAACCAGCTGTCCGTCAGCCAGCCCAGCTGCCCTGTGATTGGTGGATATGCCTAGTGGGCGGGAACTAGAGGAAAACAAGGAAGTGGACGAGCTCGTGACATTTGTGCAGTTCAGTCCCGTTAATTTCTGCCTGTTTTACCAGCTAAATAAGCATAAAAAGGACAATTTACGCTTCCACGACAATGGAGAGTGTACGAAAACGTAGAGGCAACAATTTGCACAGGTATGTACTCTTACTTGTTCATGAATTTCCTTTGAATCGCTTCTTTTCCCTCAGGAAAGCACAGTCGATTTAGACAGCAACGAAAAAACAAACAATTCTGCCTCTTCATAAGTTTCCGACAGCAGAGGTGTATCATTTTTAAAAAGGAAAAGTTATAACCCATTCTCGGTGTCGTTTAATAAACGTGGCGGAAGTAGCAAACTATTGTAATTGTCACTGACGAGATTAAGACAATTTCGGTTCGGGGACAGGATGGGGTTGATCACGTGCTCCGGTCCCATGGTAACGCTCTCTGAAGCAAACCCGACAGCCCTATTACATTTATTAATCCTTGAAGGGAAATTACGCTGCTGTCGGTGGAAATATCAAGTGGAAAATAAAAGTAAGCTTCTTTAAAGTTTTGCAAAGTTTCACAATAAGTCGTGGAGTCACATGTCTGTGAGTTGATGCTGTTGCATCTCTGTCAGGGATCTGAGTTTTTCCATTTATCTACCAGTCAATCCTTACACTTATCCAGGTTAGGACCACAGAAACAAGACACTGAACATCACTTGGTTCACACACTAGATGGAAACAGTTCTTTAAAAATAGATTCTTTACAGAAGCTGATGGATTAATTATTGACATTATCACCACCACTTATTTAGACCTATACATCTAGTTATTTATGTATATATTCATCTATATTATATGTGGAATTTTGTATATATATATATATTTGTGTGTGTATAGACATGTGTATATGTATATGCCATTGTTTTATTTATGGAGCCAGTAACAAAAATAATTTCCCCCTGGGATTATTAAAGTATTTCTGATTCTGGATAAAGATAATTATCAATGAGCCATTGCTGCTATAAAGAAAAAAACAGGTCTAGTAAGTGACCCCTGATGAGCAGCAAAATGTACACCCAAAAAACAGAATCAAGACTTTATAACACATGACAATATTTGGTGCTAAGCTCAGAGCTTTTTGGATTTAATCACTGTAACCCTGTCGAAAAAGCAGTTGTCACACTGTCAGCCAATTCCCCTGCATGCAAATCAGCTAAGCAGTGATTGTTTAAATGAAATTGGGAGAAAGGTTTAGGGAGAAAAATTGCCAAATGATAAAACTGTCATCTGCCTTTGTTGTGAGAAAAAAATCAAAGTTCAAATGAAGCATCTGTGTGTTGTCAGGGGGAACAGGTGTATCGTAATTACAGTGCAGATGACAACTTTCGCAGACTCATTTTTTTTTCCCAGCAGGTTTTTCTCAAAGGAAACAACCAAAATTAAAAGTTTTGTTTTAGTTAGATATCTGCTGCAAAAACAAATTAAGTTGCGAATTGCATTTGATTCACATTTACATGTCGTGCATATAATGTGCATTTTGCTTTTGTATTCATTCGAAGTGATAATTTCCTGATGTGAAGACAGACGTGTATAAAATTGGAAAAGAATGTGTTTTATAAGAGAATTTAGTTCAGACTGCACAGACATTTTTTCCCCACATCTTATTGATCAGTTTTCAGGGTCTGGCCTCATTAATGTAAATATATTCAGCGAAAGCTGTTCAACAACGTGTTTTAATTCTGAATTTACAGCAGCAGTCAATGCTGCAGTAAACCTCATTTTAATGCTGTTCTCCCAACCTGCTTCGGCTCCCATTTCCTTTTATAAAATTGGCTTATTGCAATGACTTACTGTCACTGTAAATGTGAATTGACAGTGCTCCGGGGCCCTCTCAGGAAAACGAACCACCCATGAAGAGCCAGGCCTTCCACTTTGACCTGTGGTTCTGCCTGACCGTACAGAACTGGATTCTTGACTTTGGGAGGCCTATTGTCATGGTAAGGAGGTGTGATGCTCCTAATGCGCTCTTCCAGTGTGGGAATGGAAAAAATATGAAACGTTTTCTTTATTGTGTGTATTAGATCATCCTTCCTCTGGAGTGGTTCCCGCTTAATAGGCCCAGTGCTGGAGACTATTTCCACATGGCCTACAATGTCATCACGCCATTCCTCATGCTCAAGGTAAGTCCTTTCATGAAGAAACCCTTTGATAATGCAGAAACACTTTTCACCAGACTCCTGTCTCTTTCTTATTTCCAGTTCTGTTGCATCTGTCCAACACAAAGCCTCCCAAAAAAAACCCTCACTTCATCGTAATTCACACATGCCAGACAGGGACATGTGAAAGAGAC